AAATAAGTCCAAAATAAGTGATTATTTTAAAAAATAAGGGCTTAATTTTAACCCCACATTTCCAACTTTTTTAAAGTTCTTAAACAATAGGCATAGATTTATTTCCTACCAAAAATGTCCCCATTTCTTCTTCTCTGGTCATCAAGAAAAGCAATTACTTTCCCTTCTATCTCCTCTACAACTCTTTTTCTTTTCCGATCTCTCACAATTCAAACTTCAAAACTCCCACACGATGATGACGACTATCACCACCATGAGAGAGGAATGCCCAACGACAAATACTTTGCCGCCATCCACCACATCCCCAACATAGTTCGTTGCGATTTCTACATGGAATGAACCCCTAGAAAATGTAGATCAACATCACTTCTGAACTCTTCTATCGAATCCTTTGGAACTGTGGTAAGTGCAGAATCGGATCCTTCCATTTCTTCAAATTGGCTCGAAACCAGCCTCGATATGAACTCACCACCATTGAATACGAAGAACTCATTAAAACCATAGGTTAGACTTGTCACTGGGAACCATGTGAAAGGTTGCAAAATAGATGAAGAAACAACAATTTTCTCTCACCCCCAAGACATTCTCAATGATTATAGAGTCATATGGGAAGCATGGGCTCATTGATCGGGCTATTGAAGTCTTTAATCGTATGAAAGAGAGAGAGACCAACACCCGGGTATATTTTGAAAATTTGAAAGAAAATGAAGGGAAAAATAGTCACAAGTGCTTATTGGAGAAAAAGACTACCAAGCACCTAATATGAAAATATGTACTCATTTTTTAAAATAAGCATTTGAATGGTATATTTGGTGATTAAGTGGTTTAAGAAATAAACACTTATTGCTGTTTGGGGTTTGGTGACCCATTTGTCAAACCACTTAATGGGTATTTTAAGTACTTATTGGGGTGGGGATGTTTGGTGAGCCACTTTTCCCACAAGTGCTTATTTTTATATAAATGACAATTTTAATTCCTATTTCACATACACACACACAAGTATGCAGTAAAATTGAAAAAACATCACAAATATGCAATGAGAAAGTTAAAAAAATAGGAAGACAATAATTATTCATATTAATAATAAAAAATAAATCAAAATTCAGATTAAGCAAAAGAAAAAAAATGGAAAAAAACATAAAAAACATGCAATGAAAGTGAAGAGCATCAGGTATATGCAATGTAAAAGTTAAAAATATTAATAATAAATGAAGAACATCAATTATTCATATTAATAATAAAAAATAAAGTCAACAAAATAAATTGAAGAACATCAATCACAAATGTGCAAAATAAATTCAGCAATTATTCACGGAATCGGAATATGTAAAATGTAAGAACATCACCAATTATTCATATATATACATATATATATATAATAAAAAAAATAGAAAAAATCATATTATGCAAAATAATAAATAATATAGAAAATTCAGCAAGTGCATATTATTTGCATAATGCTTAACAAAAACTGACCAAAAATTACTACTTCTTCATATGCATCATCACACAACCAAAGTACATATAATAATCACAACATTTCGTTTTCTATCTCTGAAAATTGAAAAGAATTTCGATTTCGGCAATATACTATACATAAAAACCAAAGCAAACCATAAATGGTGGAATGTTTTCGTTTGGGATGGCTTACCTCTGGTGCACCACTACCTGGTTTTTGTTGTATTCGAATGGAGGAAGTATTTTGTTCTCGTGGAGGCAATCTTTTGGCATTACAGAAAATATATAGCGACTGGACCGTCCCATAAAAGTCGAGTAAGCACTTCTTCAACAAGTGCTTAAAAAAATCCACTCCTAAGTGGCTTTTTTATTAAATRTTTTTTTTTTTTAAATAAGCACTTATTCTTGACTTATTTCCAAGCAAGTATAAGTGCTTATTTTCCACTGTGGTCCCAGCATTTCTTTCAAGTATTTATAGAATTAAAGTACTTGAAAGCAATGTTTTAAAAAATGAGCCGGAATTGGAATTATTCTGACCACTGGCTTCCGGGTCGACGGTTTAACCATCCGTTTTGAACGGATGGCCCATTCTAACTAAAATTAAAAATAAAAATAAAAATTAGTTAAAAAATATTGAACGGGTTGATGGTTCGACCACCCGGATCAAGGGGTCATTGACCAGGAATCAGATTTGGGGTAAAACAAACGGTTCCCAAATTGAACAATCCAATTGTCTGGGTCAACGTTAGTTCGAAAACATTGCTTGAAAGAAGTGAAATCGAACAGGGCCGAAAAAGTTGGGTGCCAAGTGCAAATAAGAGCTTATTTGAATAAGCACTTGTTGTTAAGCACTTATTTTTAACATAAGCACTCCCAAACATGGCGTTAATTGCTTTGACTTTCTACTTTATTCTGATCCAAGTCTTATCTTATTTTTGTACTACAATAACAAAATAGGGTAAAATTTAAACAAAAATAAATCAAATTTGCACCCAAAACATACTACCATAGTTTTGCATCAGTGCAAATTACTTTACACTAATAGTTTAACATAGCGTATGAAACAAAAATAAAGTGGAGTTATAAGCAATGTTTTAAAAAATGACCCAGAATAGGAACCGTTTTGGCCTTTGATTTTTTGGTTGACGGTTCAATCATCTGGTTTGAACAGATGACCCATTTTGACAAAAAATTAAAAATTAAAATAAAAAATCACTAAAAATCATTAAACGGGTTAACGATTTGACTATCTGGGTCAATGGGTCATTGACCAATTCAACGATTTTTGGTCAAAGACTGGATTTTGGGTAAAATGGAATGTTGCCTAGACAGTTCCTAGGTCCAACAGTCCAACCATCTGGGTCAACAACAGTTCAAAAATATTGATTCTAAGATCTAACAAGGATAAAAAACAAAAATAAAAATGAAAATGAGAAATTGAACTAAAATAGTACTTTTGAATTCTTTAAATAAATACATGAAACAAATACTATTGGAAGGTAAATTCTCATAACTATAGAGAAAACGAAATACATAAAAATGCAGAACCAAAAATACGGAAAAACAAACCACCACTCATCGTTGTTCAAAATACCGAAGAACCAGCTGGGTCATGGTGGATCCACAAAAGACTCTCTGGATTCTTTGAATCATATTTGAACAGAAGTGACCATGTTTCTGAATGTTCAAGTTAAAGTTCTTAACATTATACATCCGAAGAACCAGCTGACCCAGTTATGACTGGCATGGGCCTTGACGATGGGTGAAGGTTTTGGTAAAACAAGTGGGTCAGATAACCCCAGTTGCAATTGGGCTACATTGACGCTGGCCTAAGGGGGGCCACTTTTTCCATTTCCACTGCTTGTGCAACTGCAAAATATTGCTTTTGTTCTGCCGCAAAGGCTACAATTGTGAACCAGCACGGCCGGATGGGCCCATCGCGTTCAGCTAAACCTTGTTTCTCGTCACTTCATCTAATTCAAACTGCTGCCACACTAATACCTAAAAGGCTGCCATTTCAAGGTTTTACCACCCAGGACTTGGCAAAAGTGGTTTACAAAATTAAATACTGAAATATGACTGTAAGTCGAGCTGGGTTAGGATGAGTAGGTGTCAACCCTAACTGAACCAAGTTTTTAGATCCCCAAACTAAATGTTGTCGGGTTGGGTTTGATTGGCACAATTTATTCTTGATAAATTTATGATTTATTCTCCTTTAGAATTCTTATTGGATAATTTTTTGAATGTATTATTTCAAATCCCCACCTATACTATAGTAAATATTCTTGTATTGTGATATATTTTTCCACTTGTCATCATTATTTTGAATTTTACAACAAATTCATAAAAAATTATGAGAGGAAAGAATCTATAAAACCCCTTTTTTGTTTATTTTTTGTTTTTTAAATCTCTCTGGCATCTTAGTTATGGTGTACTATAAATAACACTAGTGGAGACCCGTGCGATGCATGGGATTTGTCAAGTTAAAGATAAACAATATAAACATGTAAGAGTATACAATTGTTTTATATAATAATTAATAATCATTTRTATTTTATATACTATTTTTAATAATTTTTTACAATACAAAAATTAATTTTAGAAAGGATTGTTTATCAAACTTAGGGATGACAATTTTTTTCATTTCCTCAATCCACGTGGGGGTCTGCCCTGAATGGGGCGGGGATGATGATTTTCCCCCGTGGGGACGGAGATGGGGAAATTTTCATCCCTATTGGTAGGGATAGTGCGGGGACAGGGAGAACACTCCTTGCCCAACGTGGACCCTATATATATTATATGCATATGTTTAATGGTGCTAAATTTCGTCATTGAATCTCTTCACATCAAGGAGTAATAGAACGCTACCACCTCACGAGCTCGTCTCACCTTTGTTGCTAGGTTTTCAGCCCCTTGGTCAATAATGGTGGTAGTAGCAATGGTGAGTAGGAAGAAGAAATAAAGAGTGAGAGAGACAAGTTGAAGACAAATGAGAAAAGATATTATAGTTCTTCAAAATTTTCATCAATTGGGTTTTATTTTGAAAATTTGAGAAATAGTGAAAGGCAAATTTGACATTTCATTTTCCCATTAGCTTCTATTGTGATGTCGATTGTAAAAAAACTTAAGAATACTTTTAAGACAATATGTTAACAATAAGGGTAGAGTTAGTCAATTAATTAAATTATAAGGATAATTTAAAAAATTTGTCTTTTTTTTATAAAAAAAAATTTTGGAACAAACTGATTACACTCCACCTCAAAATTCTGAATTCAATTGCAGACTTATAATTCAAAATTATAAACACTCTTGGCACCTATCCCAACTGAAGGGTGGAGCTAAAATTCCTTGAAGTGGACTGAACAGTGAAAACCCCAAAAATTTTTCATCCATGAGGTTAAAGAAGATAAGTTATGGCCTTATAGGGGCCGAGGCCCAGAGCCGAATTCGAATCTTATGGACGTACCCAAAATGAAAAGAAAATGCCCACCTTGCGAGCTGTAGGAGGACGATACAAATTACAATACAAATAGGCACACACCGATACAATACAAATAGCAACCAAACCCTTGCAACGATAGTATCCCTCTCTCATTTTTTTTTGAAAACTCTTCGCAGTCCGCAACTGGGAGAGCGGAGACGCTGCTTCTCTAAATCTGTACGACTGCGATCTGCCATTGCCACTGGGGCATTTCTCTCAGTCGCAGGTACCAGTTTCTTCCTCTTTCCTTTCTGATATCTGTATTTGTGCTCGATATTCTTCCTCTTAAGTTTATATCTTGAAGATACATTGGGGCCTCAAAACTATTGGCATTTCCAATTTCTCCAGGTTTATTGTCCACAATGGAGTGGAATCGTGAAACCCTAGAATTTCTCTCTCAATGCTTCCTTCACACTCTGTCTCCCAACCCCGAACCCCGTCGCTGTGCCGAGGCCTCCCTTGCTGAAGCCTCTGACCGCCCTAACTACGGCCTTGCCGTCCTTCGCCTCGTTGCCGAACCCTCAGTTGATGACCAGATCCGTCAGGCGGCTTCTGTTAACTTCAAGAATCATCTTCGTGCCCGCTGGGCTCCAACGCCCCCATCGGACGCTATCCCCGCTTTGTCCCCGATTGCCGACCAGGAGAAGGAACAGATCAAAACCCTAATTGTCCCTCTTATGCTGTCATCTGGTCCCCGTATCCAGAGCCAGCTTAGTGAAGCCCTAGCCGTGATTGGAAAACACGACTTCCCGAAATCCTGGCCGGCACTGCTTCCTGAGCTGGTCTCCAACCTCCGACCGGCCACTGATTATGCCTCCATCAATGGCATCCTTGGTACCGCTAACTCCATCTTCAAGAAGTTCCGGTACCAATATAAGACCAATGACCTTCTTCTCGATCTCAAATACTGCCTTGACGGATTTTGTGCTCCACTTCTTGAGATTTTCCTCCGAACGGCTGCTCTAATCGACTCTACTGCCAGTTCTGGTGGTGCTGCTGTGACTCTCCGACCTCTTTTTGAATCGCAGCGGTTGTGCTGCAGAATTTTCTACTCTCTAAATTTTCAAGAACTTCCTGAGTTCTTCGAAGACCACATGAACGAGTGGATGACTGAGTTCCGGAAGTATCTCACTACCACCTATCCGGTTCTTGAAGAAGGTGGTGGGGATGGGCTTGCACTTGTCGATGAGCTTCGGGCTGCGGTATGTGAGAACATTAGCCTTTATATGGAAAAGAATGAGGAGGAGTTTCAAGGATATTTAAAGGATTTTGCAAGTGCGGTCTGGAGCCTCCTTGTAACTGCCTCTGCTTCCTCTAGCCGAGACCGGTTAACGGTTACTGCCACTAAATTCTTGACTACAGTTAGTACTAGCGTCCACCACACGCTCTTTTCTAGTCCTGATGTCCTGAAGCAAATTTGTCAAAGCATCGTGATTCCAAATGTACGACTGAGGGAGGAGGATGAGGAACTCTTCGAGATGAACTATGTTGAATTCATCAGGAGAGATATTGAGGGCAGTGACCTTGATACTAGGAGAAGAATTGCATGTGAACTTCTCAAAGGAATAGCAACCAACTATAAAGACCAGGTAACTGCCATGGTTTCAACCCAGATACAAAACATGTTGGCTATATTTGCCACAAATCCAGCTGCAAATTGGAAGGAGAAGGACTGTGCTATTTACTTGGTTGTCTCCCTTGCAACAAAGAAAGCAGGGGGTACATCAGTTTCGACTGATCTTGTTGATGTGGGAAACTTCTTTGCGTCTGTTATTGTCCCAGAGTTGCAGAGCCAGGATGTCAATGGGTTCCCGATGCTCAAGGCTGGGGCTCTGAAGTTCTTTACAATGTTCCGGAACCAAATACCGAAGCCTGTTGCAATTACATTAATGCCTGAAGTGGTCCGGTTCCTTTGTTCTGAATCAAATGTGGTTCATTCTTATGCTGCAAGTTGCATTGAGAAGCTTTTGTTGGTGAAAGATGAGGGAGGACGACCCAGATTTAATTCATCAGATATTAACCCATTTTTGCTGATGCTGATGAACAATCTCTTCAATGCCTTGAAATTTCCAGAATCTGAAGAGAATCAGTATGTAATGAAGTGCATTATGCGGGTTCTGGGAGTTGCTGACATTTCTGGTGATGTTGCTGGAGCTTGCATTTCTGGTCTGATGTCCATTCTTGCCGAGGTTTGCAGAAACCCTAAGAACCCAATTTTCAACCATTATCTATTTGAGGCTGTAGCTGCACTAGTCAGACGAGCTTGTGAGAAGGATCACTCTCTGATATCAGCCTTTGAAGCAAGCCTATTCCCAATCCTCCAAACTATCTTGGCAAATGATATAACTGAGTTCTCCCCTTATGCATTCCAACTCCTGGCCCAACTTCTTGAACTTAATAAGACACCCATCCCACCTACCTATATGAGTATCTTTGAGTTACTACTTACACCTGAATCCTGGAAGAGATCTGCAAATGTCCCAGCCCTTGTCCGTCTGCTTCAGGCTTACCTTCAGAAGGCACCACATGAGCTGAACCAAGAGGGTAGACTGAGCCAAGTTCTTGGGATATTCAACAAACTTGTCTCGGTCTCTAGTACAGATGAGCTTGGTTTCTATGTGCTCAACACTGTTACAGAGAATATTGGGTATGATGTTATTGCACCATACATGGGTCACATCTGGGCTGCCCTCTTTACACGATTGCAGAATAATCGGACAGTGAAGTTTGTCAAGGCTCTTGTGATATTCATGTCACTCTTTCTGGTGAAGCATGGGTCTGCAAACCTTGTGAATTCAATGAATGCTGTTCAGCCCAATGTTATTATTGCAATTCTAGAGCAGTTTTGGATACCTAATCTTAAGCAAATTACAGGAACAATTGAGTTGAAGTTAACTTCTATTGCTTCAACAAGACTTCTATGTGAATCACCAGTTCTCTTGGATGCTTCAGCTGCTGCGCTGTGGGGTAAAATGCTGGACAGCATTGTAACACTTCTTTCACGACCAGAACAGGATAGGGTTGAAGAAGAAGTGGAAGTTCCAGATATTGGGGAGACTGTGGGTTATACTGCCACCTTTGCCCATCTTCTCAATGCTGGGAAGAAAGAGGAAGATCCGGTGAAGGAAATAAAGGATCCAAAGGAATTCTTGGTATCGTCATTGGAAAGACTTTCTAGTCTCTCCCCAGGGAGGTACCCTGCAATCATTAGGGAGTCTCTAGATCCCAGCAATAAAGAAGTGTTGCTTCAGCTTTGCGGAAAATATAATTGTGCTATAGTCTGAGTAAGGAACTCATCTCTTAAGTTTGATTCTTCTTTATTTCCTATGCTCACGAGTGATAATGTTCTGTCTTTATTTTCTTTTAAAAATGCATTGTTTTTTTTTTTCTTTTTTTTTTTTATCAGTAACAAGCAAAAACTTTTATTAATTGATTAGAAGAATGTATATTACAATGAGGAGGAGGGCAGCTAACCTCAGCTAACCACCTTTGAAACCCTTCAATTACAGATTCCCCTCAGACATAGCCCCAAAACAGTTGTTCTCTTGTTTCTCTTTGTTTTGGTAGACCATCTGCTAGACAATTAGCAGATCTGTACAGCCAAAATACCTTGGCTCTCAGATCCTGCATTAGGGATTTAGTTTTCTGCAGTATATGTCTATACTTCCATTACCCCTCTTGATCTATTTGCATCCAGCCTACATAACCTTCAAATCTCCTCCAATTAAGTTTCTGTAGTTCATTTTTGTCTTTTGAACTAAGGAAGGGACTGCTYCATAGGTAGTTTATAGGCTTGGTATCTTCTCTTAACTAGGCTCGAGAATGCTAGATAATTGCTTTATAAATAGTTGGTTTAAGATGCAATTGCAATTTATAGTGTCAATCTGTCTTTTGGTTTTTTAGTGATGTATCATCCCAAGATTTGTACAAGTTGATCCAAAGGCCCCCTTGCTTTCTTTCTTTGAATGGTATGTTATACCAAAATAATTCTCAAGGGGTGGAACTGTGGTCTGAGTTTCTCTCCTTGACCAGGGTCTTGTGCTTTCATTTCAAGCAAAATAACCTTATTATGTTGTGCATTGGAACATCCTAGAGGTGAAGGTAACTAGGTAAGGTGCGTTGGGGGATTCTTCCTCTTACCATTTGTTGGAGCTAGAGGTGTCAATTGATCGGGTTATGATTTAATCTGATGCAAACCCAACATGTGTCCATCAATGAACAGTCCAAATCTGATCCAACGTAGATCTGATCAATGGAGGGTCCAGTCCAATTCATTTTAATGCAAATGGATTGGATTGGACCTCTTCCAATCCATACTTATTGAAATAACAGAAGTCACATGAAATGCTGAAAATTCAGATATTTCAGAAAAAATAAAAAATTGCAGGAAAACACAAGAATTATAAAAGGCATAGGAATTGCATACAAATAACAGAAATTAAAGAAWAAGGGTAAAAATTGCAATAATTGTAGCAAAATAACAGATAAATTTGCAAGCCATATCTCACAAGTGATTTGCTCATTTGCTATTTCTGAACCAATTGCAAGAGGAAAAAATAATTGATGTAACAAGGCAGAATCAGCAAAAACATTGTAGCTGTTTTGGGGTCTCCTTGCTCTGAGATAAGGGTTGAAACTGTCCAATACATCTTCACTGCAAACAGAAGCTTCTCCCTCTCAAGAGGCCCTTTCTCATGGTCCACAATTTTGCTATCCTAATTCATTCCATCTGTGATGCTATTGATCTCAACCAAAACATCTACATCATTTCTGAAGATTGAGCACCTTCTGGCCTTGGAATTCTGCTCATCTCCAACAGAATATCTGCCAAAAGAAAATCTCCAACAGAACATCTTCCATTTCACGTCTGCAACACAAACCATGGTCAGTGAGGATTCTGTGGATATATAAATAGACAAGTTAATGAGAAATATCTCTGTAATGATTATACACCTTCTCTTGTACAGACTAAAAACTGAATCAGTGTGAAGGAGATCATTTGTCCTGGGATATGTAGACATATCTTCACACCTTCAATAAAAGAAATAGATTAATTACCATATAATGACAAACTCCATGTTAATATGAGTTCTGAGTAGAGGAGAGAGCTTACCAGTTCTGATATGTTCTGATTGGTCTGCTCTCGTAAATTGCTCCAAGTCTGTTGAGCCTTGCCTCTGTAGGGACTATATTCATGATCCGAACTGGAACATTGATGAGAGTATTACCAGCCAGGCAGACATCCATTTATCTTCAGTAGAGTATTACTATCCATATCCACGTAACTTCTGAATCTATCAGTACCAAATAACAGAGACAGATAAAATAGGTTTGTACTGCTCAATCTTAATTGTCTCAAAACCTTTCACATTTTAATTCAAAATTCTGTTGTGACATAACACAGCATCAACAAAAGAAGGTCGACTACGGAGGTAAAAAGTATCTTTTTCTTGATCGGTCAGGGTAGAAAGGATCTTAATCCACTGGATTAAACAATGTGTAGTTCTGAATAGGACCAGCATAAATAAAAAAGACACAAGTCATTGATTCAAATATTGTCTATTAATCCCCTCTTCTATATTGGGTAAGATGAACTTGAACCCATATGGTTTTGGCACGGTAAAAACCCAAAGGAACAAGCAATGGGCACTTGGTTCATGTCACTAAAGACTTTAATTGTTCGAAGGATGGTCTTATGGGAGCAGGTCCAAGTAATAAGTTTAAGAGAGTCTACAAGAAGGGTTTGAAGACCTCAAACAGAATTCACAAAGGTGCTGAGAACAAGGCATTTGATAAAATGAGGGGAAAATGTCAGAAAAGTTTAATGGAAATGGCTTCTGATTGTCAAGCAGAAGGAAATAGTATGTATGTGGGGGAGATGGTGGAAGAGACTGAAGATTGCGATAAGGATGTTGAGGTAGTTTTAGATAAGGTGAGAAAGGTAGAAAAGAATGTTGCTCTGAAAAAAATTGTTGAAATAAGAGGTCCAAATAAGCAAAATGCTAGGGCTCTTTTTGGGATGGGAAGAATTTGCAAGAAAATTTTGTTCTGAAAGAGGATTAATTGAGGGCAGAAGTTTCTATTTCAGTTCCTAGCTGGGTGGAGTGAAATGGTTTTTGGTTAAGGGTGAGTTTTTAAGGACTTGTAGGATGGCTTTCTGTTTTTGTTGAAGGTCTGGGTAGGGACTTGGAAGTTTACCTTAAAGGAGGGTAGGAGGGTGTTGATTTTTTCTTTGGGTGATAATGTATCACTCTTTCTTGTAATTTCCTTTCACTTCGTCTATTAATATTTTTTCATTTTTATTTATTACTAAAAAAGTGATGGTTTTGGCAGAGAGAACTGACCTTTTGAGCTTTGAGATCAAGGCAAGGATTTCCTTTCTTGCCCTCTACCCATTGAACCCACTCTTTGATGATGTACTTTCTTTGCAATGAAAAGCCCTTGTAACTATCATCAGTATCTTATGTAATGGAGAGTTGTAGGCACTTGAGGGGAATCACCGGGAGGTAACCATTGATGTTTGAGGGTAATCGGTTTAAGAGGGGCAATCGCCCATTTAAGGGTGGATGCCAAAATAACTGAGGGGAGAGGGGTAGGCAAGATGCGAGAAGTTCACACTTTCTGCAATCGTCGGCTCTTGGGAAGATCTCTGTCAAAGTGAACTCCAGATCATTCTGGATCTGGATAGTGAAAGCACGACGGAGAGATCAGTCTTCCTACAATCTTTCTTGGTAGGAATTTTTGATTGGAAAGGATTCGAGCTAGAGGATATAGTGGTCTTCAAGAGTCTGGAATTTGCTCGCAGGGGGTCGATGTGAGGCATCTTGACAGTGAGAGATGGGTGTTCTTCCTACCCTCAAAGGAAGAAGCTCGGGGAGTTCTAAATACGGGTTTGAGATATTTCAAAGGAGCCTTGCTACATCTTGAACCTTGGTCGGAATCAGTGGGAGTTTGGTGGAAGAAAGAAGAGGTTCCGGACCATTTTTGGGTTAGAGTATTTGGATTTCCTTTACCATCTCTGGAGCAACGAAATTGGTAGGATGATTGGTGACCTTTGTCATGGTTTTCTGGAAGTAGACAATTCAAAGAAGTATAGAGAGTCCTTTTAATGTATGCGGTTGAAGGTTCGTTGGGTGGGTTTACCCCCTCAGTTGGCTAACAGAATGGTAGGCAAAGTGATGTACACAGTCATGATTTGGTCGGAGATTAAATCATAAAGAAGGGTTGTTCTGATGGATTATAAAGATGCTATTCCAATTGGCAAGGATTTCATCTCTCGAGTGTTAGCTGGTGTACTAGCTGAAGGAGAGTTTTGGTTAGCGATGGAGACTATTGAGAAAGGAGGGTTGGTGATCTTCCCTAAAGCTCACTCCGACAACCACCCTGTGAGTCCACAACCTGTTAGAGATCAGAAGGAAGAAGGTTGGAAGAAAGTGGAGAATAGGAAAAGAAGACAAAATCCCAGCCGTAGGTTTCCAAAAAAAATCCTATGGCCAAGATAGAACTGAGGGTGAGGTGGGAAAGGGCTCAAGGGCAAGGCTGTTTCGAAATTCAAATTTCCTGAATTTAAAGAGGCTGATGTGGCATTTGTTGATAGGTTGGCTGAGGCAGTGGTGGATAGAATTCAAAACCAAGTGAGTTCGAAAGAGATGGGCCTAGTAGCACACAATCTTAATAGAAAGGTTGGCCGACTTTGTAACCCAGGCCCGATCTGGTTAAAAAGCCCAGCTAAATCTTTTCGAAAGAAGCCCAGTCCCAACTTCTCCAAAGGAAAAGAAAAAGCATCAGCTCAAGAGGGTGACCTGATGTCTGCCTCCTCAGAGAGTGAAGAGTTTGCAGATGGTGGAGAAGGTTCGTGCCATTGGGAGAGTTGGAGAACAGACTCCTGTTGCAACAATGATAAAAGCATCGAATCTCTTTCCGACAATGATTTCGCAGGCGAGGGGTGCTTGTTTGTGGTAGAAAGGAAGTCTATGGAGATTTCAAAAGAAGGAGAAAAGCTCAACAGGTCCAGGGGTCCCCATCTGAATGAAAGTCCTTTGCAGAAGTGGTCGGATGATTAGAAGAACCAAGAAGAAGCTCATTAACAGGGACGGAGGTGCAGGAGGGTTTGGCACTAATTGTCTCAATCTAAGAGGAAGATAGTGTAAAGGAAGCCTACCCACCCTTAGAACGGAACCGGACGCAGGTGGTACGTACCTGAACCGATTGCAATCATTCTTCCAGCTGAAGGAGTTCCACAGACCCATTCTCTTCAGGTGAAAATGAGGTATGTTGAAGAGAA